TGCGATCTTTCAAGCGGTTCTCGTGGGAAGATCGAGTGGGAGGTGTTGAGTTGAGTTGCAGACCGAGCCCCTCTCTGGCTGGGAGGTAGGCTTAGGTCCGTCTCTCAGGCTGGAGGCGGAGATTTTAATGCACCAGGCGGAGAGGATCTGGCGATCAGGGGGGTTGGAGTCACTCACTCACAGGACAGTGAAGAGCGAGCAGTGTGAGAAAGCGGGATTGAAGAGCTTGGAAAGAGGAGACTGCAGGAATAAAGCTTGCAAAGGCTGAAGAAGGAGCCGGTGAGCTTTTGAGTGGCTGACTACTTATGGCATGAAATGCAAAATCAAATGTCCATATATTTAATGTGTTTTAAAAAGTATTCAAGCTAAAAGTAATTGGATAAAACTTGATTTGTGTGTATTCAGCGGAGTTAAAATCTGGTGAAGGTTAAAGGTTAAAATCATCATTAAATAGTGTTTTAAAAATGTATTTAATTTAGTATTAAATTCAAAGCAAGATCGTGAAAAGATTCCTGTAAAAATGTTGTTTCTGTATCAGTAATTCTGTATTACCCTTTAATTATTTTAAACCAAATAAATCCAAAAGATGGAACTATGGTGTTTTTTACACCTGGGCTGTGTACACCTCGGGATTTCCTATCAAATGTCATCTTCAAAAAGGTTATGACCAGTTAAGTAACCATCACCACTTGATTTGAGGGGCTGCACCAAGCCACAACCATATTAATTACCTTGTTCTAAATGTTTTTCCTATGTGCGATGATTTGACAAATATTGAATAATGATGAAAGCTTATAGAATTGCACCTAGAAAACACTTGATACTGGGAAAACAGCTCCCAAGATGTTGAAGTTTGGGGATTTGATCCCATGACTCGACTGAGACTCGGGATGAATGACACCCCATAATCAGGCCGAATACACTGGCCCTATTCTAGGTTACGGCACTCCCATCACTGGGCCATCATATAAAAAAAATAGTCTAGCATCCCGAAAATCGGTTTGAATATATTCTTCATGTGACAAAAACACACTTACATACAAAATTAAGCCAGTCAAGATGTTGTTTGATGATAAAAAACATGTTGATGTCCAGAAAAGATATTAAGTGAAAACCAGAGATAGAGATAAGATAAAATAATATAATAATATATTATATCATATATGTTATAATATGCGGTATAACAATATTTTACATTATTTAAAAAAGGCCGCCCACTGTTAAAAGGGGCAAATTACATAACCTGCAAGTCACTGTGTTGTGCTATCAATAAAGTTAGAAAACAACATGTACGGAAAAAAGGAACCTGCCACCCGGCGTCACTCCGATTTGTGTCATCTGCAGGTGTATCGTGGAGAAAACCAATAAGGTGTCAGAATGGTGTATGTTTATACTTTTCATCCAACCACAATCAAATTCACTCTATCTGGAGCAATGTGAATGAATGAGATGGTGTGTGATCTTGCAAGGAGACCTGGGTTGTTTTCAGACGACACACAAATGAGTGTCGATCTCCTAGCTAATCATCAACAATCTTCTGGCGCTAGGCTAACAAACGTGAAGTTTCCAATGCTGTTTGGCTGTTGCATAGCAACGTGTCCACACTGGACTACTTTCTCTCGGATATAAATGTGATACACAATTGTGGCTACAACTATTTTCTGCTGAAAGGCAGCTTTTAACTTCCTATTTATATAAACATTTAGATAAACAACAGGTTTATATAAACTTTGGGGGATGTTAATACATATATGTAATGTATTCTTATTTGTTTAAGATGTTATAAAATAAACCGGATTAAAATGACGGGAAGAGATCTTTGGAGATGAGGTGGGCTTTGAGTTGTGCAGCGACAATGCGTTGCAGTTCTTTTGACAAGAAGGCAAGATTGAGAGGGGCCACACGGTCCTTAAGCTAACAGGCTGGTAGTTTGGGGGGCTTCCAGCCTGTTAGCCTTAGACGATCCTTCTGGCCCATCTGGCCCAGAGAATGGAGGTCAACCTGGTGCCGGTGATGGCTAGCAGAGACCAACCCAGGTCTGCAAACCGGACAGAAAGATCCCGGCAGGGCTAACAAGTGGCCTTGTGCTGGCTAGCAATGTGGCAGCCAGGTATTAGAAGACGCTGTGGACTAAACCTGAAAGCACCTGAGATAGCGGGCTAAATACTCTTAGTTATGGTATGTTATGAAAGCTTGTACAGTGTTTAAAAGTTATTCCCTAGTGAATGCAACCAGAGAGTTGAGAACTAAAGACTGCTAAAAGCTCCAAAAATATGAGACAGCAACACTGAGGCTGCCATCCACAGTCATCTTAGATTCGAGAACAGCGCACACTGTACTCACAAATACAAAAATCTGCTGTCTATTTCCCTTAGAAACCCGTTAGACAACCAATTTTCTTTCTCTCAACATGTCTCAGTTAGTTTAGTCCCGTTTATTTAATCCAGATTCAGTAGCCATCAACGGCCCAGAGCCTGTTTCGGTGCCGGTTGCCGAGAAACACGGCCGCCATGTCTCAACCAGAATAGGCGCGTTTCTATAATGCTAGATTTGGTCTAGGTTGGGCAGGCAGCCAGAATCTGTTTCAGTACTGGTTGCCACTAAACCTAGCTGCCATGTCTTAGCCAGAAAAGGCCTGTATCTAGAATGCCACATTGGGCCCACATTCTGCCGCCGTTGATTTGTCAGAGCCTGTTTCAGTGCTAGTTGCCGATAAACCAGACTGCCATGTCTCATCCTGAATAGGCCCGTTTCTAGAATTCCACATTGGGCCCAGATTCTGCCGCCATAGATGGGTCAGAGCCTGTTTCAGTGCTGGTTGCTGATAAACCCGACTGCCATGTTTCTATGAAGCCAGATTGGGCCCAGATTCTGCCGCCATCAACGGCCAGAGCTTGTTTCGGTGCTGGTTGCCAACAAACCCGGCTGCCGTGTCTCAGCCAGAAAAGGCCTGTTTCTTTGTATGCCAGATTGGGCCCAGATTCTACAGCCATAGACGGGCCAGAGCCTGTTTCAGTGCTGGTTGCCGGTAAACCTGGCTGCCATGTCTCAACCAGAATGGACCCAATTCTATAATGCCAGATTGGACCCAGTTTTGGCAGGCACCAATGGGCCAGAACCTGTTTCAGTGCTAGTTGGCGATAAACCAGACTGCCATGTCTCAGCCAGAAAAGGCCTGTTTCTAGAATTCCACATTGGGCCCAGATTCTGCCGCCATAGATGGGTCAGAGCCTGTTTCAGTGCTGGTTGCCAATAAACCCGACTGCCATGTCTCAGCCTGAATAGGCCCTTTCTATGAAGCCAGATTGGGCCCAGATTCTTCCGCTATCAACGGCCAGAGCTTGTTTCAGTGCTGGTTGCCAATAAACCCGGCTGCCATGTCTCAGCCAGAAAAGGCCTGTTTCTATAATGGCGGATTCGGCCCAGGTTCGGCAGCCATCAACGGGCCAGAATCAGTTTTAGTGCTGGTTGGCGATAAACACTGCCACGTCTGAGCCAGAATAGGTCCATGTCTTTAACATCTAGGCCAAATATGGCAGAAATTAAATGGCCACATTTTGCCGCATCGAGCCAGAACACAGACGAGTTAGCCGTCCGAGTCCGTTGGGTACCTAGGGTGTATTAGATAGATAGATAGATAGATAGATACTTTATTGATCCCTCAAGAGGGACATTTTGGTATCACAGCAGCATGTACAGGGAAGAAAATAGAATAAAAAGATACACATTATATACAATGTAATAAGAGAAATATTAAATTATTAAATCAAATAAACTGAAACAAAAGAATAACCTTCCAAAAGAGACAATAATAATAATTTGTAAAAGGAGAAGAGGAAGAGGAAAGAGCAGCAACATCACAGCAGTACAGGGTTATTATTGTCATTATTTAGCCTGGGATGATTTATTGTAGAGTGTTATTGCACTGGGCAGGAATGATCTCCTGTATCGGCCCTTGTGACAGCGGAGCTGAAGGAGTCTGTTGGAGAACGTGCTCCGCTGTCCCTGTAGCAGGTGGTGGAGGGGGTGGTCAGGATTATCCAATATGGATAACAGTTTCAGAGATAACATTGGTTTATTACCAAGTCTGCGTGTTGCTCGTGAATTCCATTAAGTTAGCCAATATACCAAGAACCCAGACCTGGCTCATCTAAATGTATTTAATTACTGTCTGCCACAGAGACGGGTCTTCAAATGAGATGCACTGCCAGGAGAGCAACAGCGACCTCTTTGAAATATAGTATATAGTTATATAGTATTTTCTATACAGTATTAGCTCAGTCCTCAAGCAAAATAGAACAAAGTCGTTTAAAGGTATTACAGGCACAAAAAGCAATTGTAGAGTAATTGAGCATATTGTAATTGAGTAATTGTACATACTTACGATAAGACAATGGTGCTACCTCCCTCATTAGGTAGTCATCGTTAGCCAAAATATATTTATCTCTGTAGAACACATTCTGGATCATCCAGTATCACACTGAAAGGTGAATGTTGTGTTACACATCCACGTCACCATGGAAACGCTGTTTCTACTACATTCAGCTCATTATCTGTTATGTTGAACACTAAGGACCTGGAATTCACATGCACGTCAACTACTAACATTTCACTAACACATTGAACATGGAACTAGTATTATCACAGATCCCTTGTTTCAGACACGAACAGTTAACAATCGAGATAAATGCTCATCTGAACCACCTTTACAGAAATATGCCAACCCGCTTTTGTATATTGACTAACGTTAGCTACATCCCTCCATGCAACGCATATGTCTTCGCGTGTTCCTTTTTAATGTGCGGACGGCGTCAACAGGTTTCAACAGCACAAACTAATCCGTTTGGAGGCACCTGAGTGTCGCAGATATGACGTTAGAAGGTCTGAACAACATTGAGCGCGAGGTTGTTGATTCGAAACGTGCATTCAAAGATATGTCACATTCTCTTTGGCGTGTCATCGCCATTGATGTGTTTCAGCTAATATGTTGTTATTCCTACCGTCACTTTTCAACTGGCTCGTGCACGATGGACAGCTCTCAGGTTCTGAAATGCGCCCGGCTCACTGTTGTCTGTTCGATGGGTCGGGACCAGGGCAATGATTGGTCGGCAGGAATAATCAACTTGACCAGCTATTGGCTGCTCGGAGTGTCAGTAAGACTTCCTTCTGCGTGAACCCAGAAACGCACTCTCGCGTCATGACTCCCAACAGGATGTGTGCGCTAAAAACTGCAACATGGATCTGAATGATCCACATTTATTTGGATTTTAACGAGTAACCGAGGTAGACTTTATTCTGCAGTTTATTACACGTCTTTGTGTAATGTATTTTTTCTATGATTATTTTGTTTGCTGCCAGAGCCAGGTTTTAATTTAAATATGCTTAAAAACAATCAAGAACAGACAGTCCGTTTCTCAAATCGAAGGAAGAATTGAGTACAAAACTGTTCTACAATTATGAGACTGATATTTTTCTTTACAAAGTCCATTTGTTAAACCTTCCGGGAAATTATTTGATAAGAGGAACATTTTTCACTGAAACAAACATAGCAAGAAAGTAAATTCAAGTAAAGTACCTCGTAGTACTCAGCCATGTATTTGTATAAATGTAATCAGTTGAATCTAGCAAGATAATAGGAATATATTAAACAGGCGTTTTTGTTTTAGGCCCAGAAACAAGATCAATATTGCATGGTATCAAATAACTAAACCTTGAACAGACTACACCTTTCGATACACGTTTGATTGTCAATCAAAAGCAGTTCTGCAGACAGTTTACATTTTTTGACCTACAGATACTACAGCAACGAATTTACTCTCATGCAACCTGAAAGCACAGAAAGGCTTCAGGGTATGTATAGCACAAAATTATCTAAAACCATCTGCTTAAAATGCAGATGTTTCAAAGTGCAATTTAGTTCTCTTGCAAAATGGCTATACAACACCTGTGTAAAAACCCACTCCCATTTGGATTAAATATTTGCCTCCAGCCCTCAACCACCAATATCAGGAATTAGGTTTATACCTGCAATATTTTTACAATGTGTCAGTCTGCTTGTTTAGGATTTGAGGGGGAATAGCCTCCCCCCCCTTAAAATGTAAGAAATGGCCAGTCAAGTTAATATACAAAATTTTATTACAAAAAAAAAAAATTCTACATGAAAGTTTTCAAAGCTCCATATTAAAAATGGCTTCAAACATTTTTAATCAAACTACAGGTAACTCCTGGTAGTAAAATGACAGTGAAGAAACCACACCACTAAACAGAAAACTTAAAGCAGTGCTTCCAGAAAGAATACTTAAAAAAAAAAAATGCCAATTTGCTTCTTTCAACCACTTGTACACACGGATTCATTCCATTGTATGTGATAGGAAATTCATTATCTAGTTGCCCCCTAAGGTATCAATGAGGGTTTTGGATGTATAAAAGAATTTTAGCAGAAATATTTAAAGAAAAAACAGACTAAATTACAAAATAAACTAAATCCCTGAACATGAAAAGGAATACAGGTCTGGTATCCTACAGAGGCAGACCAACAGGGACAGCAGGCTATACCGTTTGAATTACCCACACAAAAACTGATCTGAAAAATGCAACGCAAAATCCACATCCTTTAAACAAATAAGCCGCTTAGTCATCATCATCGTCGTCGTCGTCGTCATCCTCTTCGTCGTCTTCTTCGTCATCGTCGTCGTCGTCGTCAACTGGTTGTGCTTTCTTGGCAGCGGGCCTGCCTGGTCCACTCTTCTTGCCAGCATCACTCTTCCCCAAGCCACTTTTGGCTTTGTATGCCGCAACATCCTGAGAAGGCAAACAAGTTTGTTGACGCTTTACATACATTTCATTACACGTATATTAGTATGAGTGCACATTTATAATAAAAAAAAATCACTCTTGAACGTGAAATTGATTAACGTATCAACGTACATAGCAAATGGAATGCGTTACCTTCTCATATTTTTCCTTCAGTTTGCCAGCCCTTGCCTCATAAGGAATCTTGTCTTTTGAAGTCTGTGTAGACCACAGCTCTCCAAGCTTCTTTGCGATGTCACCAATGGAAATACCAGGATTCTCCTCCTTTATTCTGGGACGGTGATCGGAGCAAAATACAAAGAAAGCAGACCTGGAGAGAAAGCAGAATAAGTTGTGAGATCACACCAGAGTGTTCATGCACAAGAAAGTAGGTAGATGTTAATTATTTTACAACCTTGACTAATGTTAAACGATACATGGGTGTTCCAAAAGGTTAAGACTTACGGTGGCCTTTTGGGTGCATTAGGGTCCTTCTTCTTCTTGCCTTTGCCTGGAGCACCTTTAGGGGGGATGTAGGTTTTCATCTCCCGGTCATACCGGACCTTGTCTGTTTTAGCCAAATCCTCAAATTTCACCTTCTCCTTGGCTGACATGGTCTACAAAGAACATAAAAAGTATCTCAAAATGGATGCAACTCAGCAGAAGACAGTCTCCATAATTTGAAAATAGACCACCCAACCTATACTATTTAAAGTTTAACAGCATCAACCCCATGTCAGTTTGACAAATTCTGTTGATTGGCTATAATATAAAACAATCATCCAACAATATGTAAAACTGGGGGAAAGCCACAGTAGTTTAAAGCAGAAGCACGATTGTGTGTGTGTGTGTGTAATATATATATATATATATATATATATGCTTACCTTCCATCTCTCGGAGCATTTCTTGGAAAACTCAGCAAAGCCTACACTGGTCCCTGGATGTTTCTTTTTGTGTTCTTCGCGGCAGGTTGCAACGAAGTAAGCATACGACGAGGTCTTTCCTCTTGGCTTATTTGGGTCCTTAGTCATGGCTGCGATAGATCTAGATCACATGCACAAAAAGTCACATGATTGCACATTACTTAACGTTAGGAAACTTACTTGAAATCGGGCAGATAAAACCGTAGACATTAGAGCTGCTCTTTCACTCGAGACTTAACTTCAAGCGAAACATAAAAACGTAGCCAAAGCCTAATATACAAAGCAAACGTATGTTTTGCAGATGGGAATTACCAATGCATACGCCCACGGGTGTTTAGAGGTTCTAATCGGATTTATGCTTCTCCGGGACAAAAAGACGAGACTCCATTTTGTATCTTCCCGCCTAAAACCTAAAACTGCGCCAACAGCTCACCCGAGACATTACTTATAAGTTACCATACGGTTGTGCTTTGAATTTAGCATGCATGCTCATCCGCATTTAAACCATGTTCCTGGAGCTAGCCTAAACGGCTAGTAACCCATTTTAACTTCAATGCGGACCTACCATCGTGTAGCAAGCTAAGCTACCAAACCAAATGGCGTTTGACCAGAGTGTCGCCGAGAGTAGCAAAATACCACTGCTTTTGATAGAACTTCGGCCGAAACGTCTCAATTTGTTACGAAGATAAAGCGGAAAACAACCGCTTTAACAGATTTTTGAAATTATATTCAACGTTGACTTAGGCCATGCCAACATCAGCTTAATTCTCACATAGGCTTTAACATACGCTATTTAGTTGGTACACTTGTACAAACCTGGAAGACATACTTCTATTGCAACCACTGGGGACTTTGAATAATTTAACAAAAGTGCCACAACGGCAAGTGCCTTACCCGTTCTCAGCTAGACGACTTGTGAGCGACTGAACGAGGACAAAAGCTCGACTGTTTTGTCACTGTCTGTGGGGCCGAACTAACTTGGCTTGAAGTACTTCCCCAACTCCTCCCAACCGTTAGCGGATTGGCCAGATTTAAACATTTACATTTGAATGTAGGATTTGAGAAACAAACATCGGTGTGATTGGTTGTAGTAAATGCTATCAAGTTTGTGTGCGTTGTTTGTCTGCTGATTGGTTTATCTGGGCTTTTAAACACACGGCGGCAAAACTCCTTTGTCTGCTTCGAGTCAAATGTGGTCATTTGTTAATGTGGTGTCGAGGGTTTGAATTCGTTGATCGTTTTGAGACATGCGTTAACTGGCAGGACAAACACAAATATGGGAACGTTTCCATTTCCTTTCATTGAACAAGCTGCGTAAAAGCCTGCTGGTCAAACTAGCCTTGTTTCAAAAAGGAAAGAAAAAACCTGCAAACTCTAGAAAAATGAAAATAATACTATTGGATTCTGTTTTCCACCTCAAAATGCAACCTTTAATGGTATTTGAACACACCCGTTTCTCTGATTTAGCTTTTAGAATTTACACAATTTATTGATTACATACAAGAAACCAAGTTTAATAAGTAGCCTACATATATGTGCATATATATATATATATATATATATATATATATATATATATATATATATATATATATATATATATTTATTCGGTCGGTCAACCAATTTGGAAGAATCTTGGTCAGTCGAGTTAAAACATAATAAGGCCACAGCCTATTACTCATTCATTTTCTTGCACTTCAACTGCTAGAAGTAGAACAATTATTATTTAATCATGTGGGTGAGTAATGTCTATTATTTGTTATAAGCAAAACAATCGCTAATCGCAAAGATTAGGATATATATAAATAAAAGGAGAGTATATGATATAAAATAATGCACCCAGTAGGTGGCGGTATGCACCTAAACAGGTTGCCTTTTAAATTGACGAAGAAGAAAGAAGAAGAAGAAAAAAAAAGGGGCTGGAAAAGTAACAACAAAAAGAAGAACGCCCCAGTAACGTTGACTCTACATCTGGAATGCAGGTTGTTGGCGACAAAGTCCTCCCAGAAGAATTAGGGAAGCAGAGGCCCAACGTGTGAGGACACGCTGAGTGAGTCCACAGAGGGGAACCGCGGGCTAACAGGATGAGTGGAGCCGTCGTGGACACGAGCACGCTCTACCTCTTTGATGTCGACGGGACGCTCACTGCTGCAAGACAGGTAACTTAGCGTGTTTGTGTGGATAAAATGAACTTGACGGCAGTTAAACAAACACCTGTCAATTGGCTAACGTTATACGTCAGTGCAACACCGAGCGCCACGTCATCACATCATCTTCGTCATCATCATCCTCTTCTTTTGGTTGCATGGCAGTTGGCATTAATCTCGTGCATTACCGCCACCTTGGCGTGGGGATCAGAAAACACCAAACCAACCGAACACCCCCGAAAAATAATAATAATAACAACTATAGCTATATATATATATATATAATATATATATATATATAGATAGCATAACACATATACCACAACCACTCTTGTACTAGATCCCTGTCATATCCAATTAAATACCCCTGTGCTCTTTAAGAAAGCTAACAGTCTTCTCACCTGTGTTCAGCACTCCCTGTAATGTGCATGTATGCAGCCCTGATCCTCTCACTGTATCTCATACTTACAACTCCAATCTACAGGCTCCACTGACTCTTCTCTACATCCTTCACACAACCCTGTCTGGTGTTTCCTATTATGTTTAGTGTTCTGTTTAGTGCACAATGGACCAATCATTACCTTGTCATCAATGTTTCCTCTCTTGTTCCTACCGAATCCTTTTTTAACTTTGACTTTCTTTTGTAGATGATCTAGATGTCTCCCGCTTTCTCGCTGTTTAAAGAGAGTACATTAACACTTGATTCATCATTTTTTCTGAATGTATTCAACTGAGGCTTTCCAAATAACCACATTTCTTCCATCTTCCACTTCCTACTCCTGAAATGAGATAATGATCACTTCCAACAGTAGAATCTTCATATCTTCAAGATGTAAAAAACGACGAGTGCTACAGGCTAAAATTGAATTACTGTCTGAACTGCATTTCATTCTTGCTTTAAAATAATAACAATAATAATGGCTAATAATGGCGGTTCCCAAGCTCAAGAATGCCGCGGCCCAATTTGAAATCTGAAAATCTTTCGCGGCCCACCCAAACCTTTAATCACAACTCTGATCAAAACATAATGATTAAATGATCTTAAGAATTTAACCAAAATCAAACTTCCGCGAGCAAAAGTCTGTCTCGCGCGAGCAAAAGTTCATCTCCGCGAGGTATTTGCTCGCGCTCGAAGGAGTTTTCTACGCGCTCGCTGTTGTTCTTTTTAACAGTAAGGTGGAGACTGTGCTTTCAGGGTCCGATCGATGCCGCGAGGTGCGTCCGCTCCCGCCGCCCCCTCGCCATCCACGCCTTAAATCTTCAGCTGCTTTTAGAATAACTTATTTTCCCCGTTAAGATGGTTCAGCTACTGTAGAGAAAAGGGCACCGTCTCTCGCTCTTTAATCTCATGAAGTGCTCGGCGGGAACGACAGCTTTGTTTCTCCGACGCGCTCTGAAACAAGCTCCATATCTCGCGCGCTTGAGCGCCGCTCAGCATCTCGCCGTCGTAGACCGAGCTTTGGCATGTTTGGCAGAGCGCCTTGAGCGCCGTGTACAAGCAGTATGGATCAACCGATTAACCAATTGATCCATTGGTGCTCCGGATTATAAGGTATTTGTGCTTCATCAACTAATTTTTCACATAACTAATGTGCCGCATCATAAATATTTTTATAGTAACTTCAAACTTTTAAAAATTTAATTAAAAAACTTTATTTGCACCTGCAGTACCTTCTGCACTTTGGGAATTGCTGCTCTAATGTTATCACTAATAATTCTATATTTAGGATTGACGTGGCGCAGGGGTAGAGAGGGTGCGTCGGAAACCGCAAAGTTGGCAGTCTCAGCCCCGGCTGCTCCATGTCCCATGTCGAAGTGTACCTAACCCCTAATTATTCCCCGGACAAATATGTAAAACGCCATGGGTTAACAATGTAATGTAAGTCGCTTTGGATAAAAGCGTCAGCTAAATCACCTGTAAGGTACATAAGGGAATGTTGAGGAAAAAACAATTATAAACAATCTAGCTCACATATTATTGACTTGGAACCTTTTACCACCATTGTGTCCTCTGAAATCAGTTTTCTTTTCCCTCCATCTTTGCCTGTGCAAGTTGTATGTAGTAGTCATAATGTTCGAGGTTGGAACCCTAGGGGAAACACTTGAAATGTATATAAAAGCTGGAGACTGTTATGATTGTGATTGATGACTTCAGTACAGTAAATACATAGTTTGTTTTCAGCGTGTGACTCCAAACATGGCAGAGTTCCTCGAGGAGCTCAGGACTCGAGTTTGCGTCGGCGTGGTAGGAGGGTCGGACCTTTCTAAGATCAAAGAGCAGTTGGGAAATGATGGTAAGTGTGTGTGTGTGTGTGTGTGTGTGTGTGTGTGTGTGTGTGTGTGTGTGTGTCAAATACGTTCTTTGACTCTCAATTTTCCTTGCAGTGATCCATAAAGTGGACTACGTGTTTGCTGAGAACGGTCTAGTGGCGTATAAGAATGGACAGTTACTTTCTGTCCAGGTAAGATCGACCCTGTGTGGCCAAAGAACATCTTATTTTAGGTGAACAATTGTAAGCCTGCGTTGTCAAAGGCGTTGTAGGCCAGATTAAAAAGATTTGCCATCCTATTCTTGGTTTTGTGAAACAATGCTATGATTAGGATGGCTAATCTGAACATGATGGCATTACCTTGTGTAACAGACCCCAGGTTAACATTATTTGCTTGCTGCGGTTAGTCCATCCAGGCCCATATGGGAGAAGAGCTACTCCAAGATTTCATCAACTTCTGTCTCAACTACATGGCCAAGATCAAACTGCCTAAGAAGAGGTACAGTCATATCAGAGTGCATTTTTTCGGTCCTGTAGTTTGGATGCACATGGAATTAAAGGGTACTGGCCATTTATATGTAAAAAATAATAGATCGTCTCCATCAGCATAATTCAGATTGTTACTAAGTTTTTATGTCTGCTGTTTCACAGGGGTACATTCATTGAATTCCGTAATGGCATGTTAAACATCTCCCCTATTGGACGCAGCTGTTCACAGGAAGAGAGGAACGAGTTCTACGAGCTAGATCAGGTAAGGCACACATTAGGATTGTCCATCGGCGGTTCAATCCATCCTACTGGCTGGGTGTAGTGTCCCTCAGCGAGACACCAAACCCGAAGGGGCTCCCAGGGAACCTCTCTGACTGGGTTAAAAACCAAGATCAAATTCCTTGTATGTATGTTGTGATAATTCTAATGAAATGTATGTACAAAGACGGAATAGGGGGACAGGGTTGTTGAACCGCTGAGCTGGCAGAGTGTAAGAGACCGGCCGGACGGGTGTGACGAGTTGACAATGTTAACAAACAAAAGAAAAGCAGCAGTTAGAAGTCCGGGAGCTACTAAGCTTAGTCATGCACACCATAGCAAAGAGCCTTCCAAGATGGCGTGCAAGTTGAGCAGATGCAGTGTTGTCACTCAATGCATAATTCATAGAAACTCCACACAGCGTAAAAAACAAATACGTTGAGAAGAGGCGAGATGGCAACAAATGAGACAAAACTGCATAAACCAACCTCCACAATGCCAGGGAGGAGTTGAAACTAACTGCAAACAAAGCTCAAACTATTTGGGACAGTCGCGTTCGAAAAGCTCTGGTAGCCTTACAAAAAACGTAACAGAAAAATTCTGAGGCATTTTTCAACATTTCTTCACTTGCATCTAATTTTGGGTGCAGTTAAAGGCTGAGTGTAGTGGAGCATTTAGCTGCTGAAGAGACACCTTTTTTTTGGTGACCAAGAGGACAGATAAATATTGGACTGACAGGAACTTTTCTCCAGATAACCATTGTGTTTGGTTAATCTGCAATTAGGGAACTGTTGGATGTTTTCTCTGAAAATAGGAGCTAACGTATCCGATATGGTGTCTTTTCTTTTAAGCTTTTATTACACGGCTACCAGGTGCACAGACTCCCAATACAAATGTAGATGTTTGTGTACTAGGGCTGTCGAATATTCACTTAAAATAAACACGTATATATTCAAATATCTGGTTGTGCATTAGGCACGTCAACAACAGGACAAATTAGTACAGCGAGACATAACTTTATTACCTACACAAAATTAAATAAATGAAGTAATGGCCAAGACCACAGGCCTCGCTCGCACCGGTTTAAACAAACTACAACAATAAACAAGTGCTGATTAAGAGTTGTGCAAGCAATTTAAGGTTGCGATTCTTGTCCAAAATATGGCAGGCTTCATTCAGTGTAGGGCTGCAACTAACGATTATTTTGATAATCGATTAATCGGTCGATTATTTCTTCGATTAATCGATGAATCAGATTTTTTTTTAAACTGCATTAAAAAGCTTTAATTTCCAACCCTTTATTCTACAACAGAACCTCAAATTCGTCAGAACTAGTTCTCTATACTACACTCACAAACACACCCTAATATTCACTTGAAGCATATTCATTAAATTATTACCATGATTGTAGTGCAAGTTAAGTAAATGCATACAGCTACAAAACAACCAAGTGCTATGAGATGAATTTAAAATGGCATTTGTAAATAAATGCATTATAGGCTTCTTATGCATTATGTGACTCCCTTTACAGGCATAACATCAACTACCGTATAACCCACCGTATATGCGCAAGCGCACTGGACTACCATATATGACAGCATTTAAAAGTACAACACACACACAAATATATTTGTCAACAAGAACCGATATGGGACAAAGCACAAAATATCAGACAACACATTGAAAAATGAATTGTCCAAAAGAGGCGAGTAAATAAAAACGTGTCTTGCTAACTGCTTTACTGCTGTTATTAGCGAGCTAACGCTAGCTTGATCAGCTGGATGACGAGTAAACAGGAGGCTTGTTACGTCCCTCACGTCAAAACGGGACAACGTGGACCGGGACCCCCCACGCTCGCACACCTTAGACGACTAGTCGAACAGACGTCTCTCCCTGCGTCATGTGACTCACAACAACTGCCGGCTGCTCTTTCCTCTACGTCGGCTCGGCGCCTTTATTTTTAGTTTTGCTCCGCGCGCATCTCCGCAACTCATTGAGTGACGTAATAATCGCGCGACACAACGAATCGATAATGAAATTCGTTGCCAACGCCTTTAATAATCGATTCGTTGTTGCAGCCCTAATTCAGTGATAAATATTAGCATTAGTTGAAGTTTTACAGTACCGGCATTGAACGCTCCAAGCGAGCTGTGCCGTGGTAAATATGGAACTTTTCCTTTGCATGAAACGGCAAATAATCAAACCAGTGCATGAAGCTGTTGTAGCCTATTTTATTCATGCAATATACAGTCAGGCACGCGCCCACCCGCAAAGCAGACAGTCTTGTCGCTGCTGCTGCTGTTGTTTTTTACATTGAAATAGTTTTATTTAAAAAAATTATTTGAATGTGAAAATATATTCGAATTTATAATATTCGATGTCAGCCCTATTGTGTATGAACCCTAACCCTATTTTCAATTTCCCAAATTGGCGGTTCAAGCAATGCATGAATTGTTTCATAGTTGGAAGGTGAGTTTGTTCTTTTTTTCTCCTTTTAGAAAGAGAAAATCAGAGACAAATTTGTGTCCGTATTAAAGGAAGAGTTCAAAGGCAAAGGATTGTCATTTTCAGTCGGTGAGTCTACTGCATTCCTGACAATTGTACAATGTTTGCATTAATTTGGAGCTTGTTACATCTGTAGGGAAAACAAAATGATCTGTAGTAGCCCCAGACTTCAGGTAGTATAAGATATCTGCTTTCTTTGTCAGTGTGCTGTAAATGGTCCATATTATCTCCCCCTGCCTCTCCACCTTTGTTTTTCTGCAGGCGGGCAGATCAGCTTTGATGTGTTTCCTGATGGTTGGGATAAGAGATTCTGCCTGAGGTTTGTTGAGAAGGACCACTCCACCATTCACTTCTTCGGAGACAAGACCAAACCTGTAAGTATGCTGACTGCTGATACCATGGCTGATTGCTGTAGGATGCACATTATTCCATCAATAGGAGTGCCTGGTTAGGACCACAACCACAGGAATGGGTTGATCTTGACAACACCGACCGGTATACATGCAGATTTAATTATCCAGGTTCCTCTAACCCTGCTTAACCTGGGTTGTTAAGTCTGTATTTTTTCACTGTAGGAAAATGTATATTTAATTTAATTGTTTTCCAATTTTTGTAAGATAATAGTGTCAAAGAAATTCAACATGTGTGTTTTCTCTTTCATTTGATTTATTGCGTAGCAACTATGTTATACAGCACAAAATACAAGTCAGCATTCTCTCCACTTCATGATTGGGCTGTTTCTACAAAGGTGACTTCCACTCACCGTCCACTTTATTAGGTACACCTGTTAAATTGCTTGTTAACACAAATTTCACTTTGCCACAACAACAACAACTGAAGACAACTTGCTGAAGGATATTTACTTTGCACACTTTGGGCCCCTTAGTACCCATTGAGCATGGTTTAAATGCTGCAGTCAACCGGAGTGTTGTTGCTGACTATGTCCATCCCTTTATGACCACAGTGTACCATCTTCTCATTTACAATTCAACTTAAAAGGGCTGAGTCCTCTGTCCTGAGAGACTGTGTGTCCTCAAACTTCCCAAAAACGTTTTCACATTGTCACAGAGTCATTTGTTGAAGCCAATAGTTTATTTAACCGGTACAAACGCAAGGCTGGCTCGTATTTGGGCCGAAGCCTCAGAGTTCTGCTGAACCCATCAGAAGGTCAGCCGTCACACCTTTTTTTTTTCTTTGCCTAACGTGTGTGTGTGTGTGTGTGTGTGTGTGTGTGTGTGTGTGTGTGTGTGTGTTAGGGAGGAAACGACTATGAGATCTACAGCGACCCTCGGACCATCGGCCATGAGGTCTCCTGTCCAGAGGAAACGCAACAACTTTGCCAGCAGTTGTCCTTTTTATGAGAGTGAAGCAGCAACTGTCCCTGTTCTGCCAAAATGGCTTCTATTAAGAGTTCCTATTAATCTGTCAAGAAGGCTTGCCCATAAAAAGGACCGATTGAATGCAGAAAGAGACTGCGTGTTGGGTTTGGGTTTTGAGTTGGAAGACTCACTGACTAATGAGAGGGGGATTTTTGGTTGGGTATTATGTGACAACTGTCACAACTTTAATACATTTGAATCCATTACATCATATTTAATCAATTGGTTTTAATGAGATGCCGGGCACCTCATGGTAATTTTTGAGGCAAAACAATTACCAATGAAATGTTTCAATTTAGAGACAAATGTTCTATATTTAATACACATGATTCTCAAAAAATGTTTGATTTGTCTTTTAGTGCATTTCATGTCAACATCAGCTGATTTAAATCTGCGTTCGATCAAAATCCCTTGATCTCCCTTTGCCCTTTATCCGGTTGTCTGCCCACCTGCACCAATGACACTAGCTGTGTCGCCAGGCTGCATCCTTAAAGACGCATTTGTTGACCGCAAATGTCACTTCCACTGCGACTCGACTGCAACTCTGCTGCGCGCATATATATATATATATATATAAACGTGTGTGTGTGTATGTATTATGAGAAATGAATGCCCGTAGCCATGCACACAGATATGACAAACATTACATGTATGCATAGTAATGTAATAGCTTTTCTATTGTCAAAAGAAAAAAAGCTATGTTGGGTTTTGTTTTTATAGCTGCTTTCTTCAGATCTCATGTGACTTTAAAAATTCTGGGCCATTGGGTTGCAGTTCTTTCTGTTTGGCATTTATTGATAAATCCTTAACATCAATTGATACACAACACATACACAGCACACGCTAGAGGGAAACACTCCAGTTGAACACAGCAGTATGGTGACATTCATCATCACACACCTTTACCTTATTTCTGCACGTATTACACCTGTCTCCATCTGAGTACAGCTGTATAAGCCGAGTCCTAAGAAATGTGAAACTAAAAACCTATTGCAATAATAGAAATGTCATTTTTAGATTTGGCTCTCTGAGTGTCGTGTGTAACCATGAGTGGATTGAATTGAATTAACCACAAGTCCTTTTATCCAAATTAAGGGAAGCTATGGAGCCAATCATTAGCAAACTTTATAATGAATGAACATTTATTAAATACAATGTTAACATTTGGAATCACACAGGCATTGTAGAGACCATGAAACTGAATGAATTCAAATTGTGTTTAAATCTGTTCTTGTTGTTGGTACGTTATCTATCAAACCACAAACTCTGACATTCTACAGTTTATATAATATTTGTAGAATCCCTATCTGATGTCATGATTCTCATCTGAAGCTTGAGTTGACCTTAGGATGTAGCATTGACAACATTGATGTGGATATAGAATGATGACAGTTCACTGAAACATAAGTAAATATATGTTCTTATATCAGAATTACTTGTTAATTACCAATAGTTGGACTGGTTCTAGAAATATCCTGTTGGACTGTATTCCCTTCAGCATCCTCTTCCCCGTATTTACTTCCATCATGGCTGCAAAAGGAAAGTTGTCTAAATAGAATATAAATAAATAGTATAATATAAATAAATAATAAATAGATACTGAACCCTAGTGGCAGTTTGGGGTTTCATGAGTATTGTTTTGGAGAAGGTAAACAAAAGGAAGAACACTTTAAGACTTGAAGGCAACTAATGACCAGGTTTCATCTAAGTTGGTATTAGGGAAGAAACTTGAGTGGTTGGAGTTGACCTCCTGTTTGTAGTGTAGCTTTGACCGGGACCATGGAGGGCTGACCCTGGGTCCCCGATCTGTGACCCCTCAAACACCTCTCAACACATTCATCTACTTTCCTCTGCATAAAACAGATAAGACAATGTGTAATCATGTGACTAATTATTACTGAGTTGTATAACATAGTTTCAAACTGTGAAATAAGTCAATTATAGGAGGGATGCCATCTACTTCTTGCTGTGTGTCTGAAGTTCAACTGGCCATACAAAGAAATACTTGGGACAAAATACCTTTTTACCAAGACTAGTATAATAACAAATATTATTTTACACTGAAGTGAAGACTGGGAGTAAACAAATCATTCTTTAAAACCTCCATCGTGTAGTTAATTGTTTTTAGATTTTCTTAAAGAGGAGACATCTTTGGGACAAAAGCTAAGGTAAGCCCAGGGACTTTTCCGATTAAACGAAGTGTTTCACTATCTTCCTCAAACTTGTTCTACTTTATTTCAGACTGGTTACATATGTCATTTATCCATCTAAAAGATAGTAATAGTGGGTCCCATTAAGAAATTCAGCCACCTAAAAAACACATCCACATATAAAACAACAAACATCTTCGCTATCTGCAACTAAACAATGCAATTGAATAGAAATTAAATGGAAGGTCTGCCACGGCCTTTGTAAAAAGGGTGAACAGCTAGTATGACTTCATTTGGATGGAAATTGAACGAGACAAACTATAGCTTGAAAATCAATCAACCTTTTACTGCGAAGCCATTTTAACTCATCATATTGTGCCCCTCTGTGTGTCAGAGGAGAATGTCTATCACATTCCAGCCAGGCGGCAGGGTTAAGTATTTTCCTGTCAGACAGCGAAGACCTCGTCTCCACCGCTGGACAATCGGCCACGCCTGGTTCCAGGTGGGTGCAGGTGAAGAGGTCATCAGGTTTTTTTGTGTTGGGCTGGTTGTGCGGTCCTAGAAGTAGGGGCAGATTGGTGTACTTGTGTTGGAGTTTTGTGGTTGGCTGGTTCAAAGAAATGGGCGTGTCCTCTTTCCAGTGCGAGACTGCTGATTAGGATTGTGTGGTAAGCGGTTCCAGCCTGCATCTGTCTCCTGCTGTTTAGCTAGTCCTCCTCGTCGGGACATTCATTCCCTCCCATGAGATCGGCTTCCCTGTTAGGGTTGTTGTCTGTGGGGACAAAACACCCACACCAATTAAAAAGATGTTCCATTCAATTAGCAGCAACATGGACAAACTCCTCATATTTCAGATTTTTTTATTTTGTGTTTAGAATACATTTTCCACAAAAAGCCCAATTAACGTAACTTAAAAAAAAAAAAAGACGCGTTATTAAAATCCAGAATCAACGACTATGAGATATCATTCATTTGTAAGTTGAACTTCTGGACCATTCTCAGTGCATGTGCACTGGAGGTTTGGGGTCCATCACATTTGAGGTAGCCTAATATTGATTTCTCAGCTGTGATGTCAATTTGCTCACATGTAGAACTTAAAACTCATAATTAACGCTTTCCCCAGATGAATGCAGTGTTCTGGTGTTGAAGTCTGCATATGTCTTCATTCTGAACATAACACAAGATCCACCTACTTGTCGTTCTCAGTTTCTCACTAGCGCTTGTTGCCGTGAGCCCCCTTGTCCTCTCCCTCCCAAAGCAGGAGTCCCTCCCAGGTACAGTCCGAGCAGGCAAACCCCTCGGACCAGACTGTCGCACGGGCCCAATAAAAATTAAAAATGTAATAAAATTGTATTTTAATACTATTTTTTTTTTTTTTACCTTTTGGACTTATTTTTTCACATGAACAAAAATGTTTGTTTTACTCTAACTGGTAGTGTAAATGTATTATAGTGAAACAGTAGTGGAGGATAACACGATTTTCTAATCCCAATCAGACAATTGTGTTTTATCTAAACTCTCCTTTTTATTTAAACAGATTCGGAGGTTAGTTTTGGAGACGGCTGTTGAGGAGGGGTTATGGTGGTGTCGTAGCAGGGTGTGTCTCTGTGTATTGTATGCCTTGTCTGAAGCCCAGGGGTTTGTGGTTGGCGGTTCCTTCTGATGGTACCTCCTGGTGATTGGTTAGCTCCTCTTTCAGCTGCTGGGACTCCCCCTTCACAGCTGATAGGAAGTGTGCTGCAGACTGGCAAGGAGGAATTGATTTCTCCATGCGGTTATAAAGACCTTTCCACATTCTGGAGAGAAGGATCAGAAGTCTACATTTGAGACTCTTTAAGACATTCAATGCTTTCTGGAGTAATGTTGGACCGAAAAAAAGTATACATATATATATAATATATTGTTTAACTCAATCCAAATTAGAATTTTCACCACAACGTACTAATCAAACTACTGAACCAAGAATACAGGCAATCATGCAGCAGCTCACTTGAAGCAGTAGGGCGTGGTGTTTGGTCTCAGGACCCCCTGACTCTGGCTCAACTCGTCCTTGTACAGAGGGTTGGTGTACTCTGCTCTGTCCTTCCACAGCTCAGGCCACAACGAATGACTTCGCTCATGGAGCCTGTAGTCAAACATCACAGACCAACCAACGGTGAACAGGATACTGCGCCCCTTACAATGGCTTTATGAAATCATCTAGCAAACATTTCTACGTAATCTTTGTCACAGATGAGTTATCTTCTCAGTGCATCCACCATTTTAGACACATGAGGGGTGGCTCAAAGTTCCTCAAAATCGTACTTTCTGAAATACAACAATCTACATTGAAATATATATATATATATATATATATATATATATATATATATATATATACGCACTCAACACTAGTCACAACATTAGGTTCCCTTTAGACCAAGTAAAAAGGACTTTACTACTCTCAAAGAGGCACGCATTTAGACACGTACATCAATGGATCATAAATAACTTATGAGCTGGATGTTACTGGCTCCTGTGTCATACATAAGGTTACACAAATAAATTGAAGATAAGAAGCGGCCATTATGTTTGTGACATCCCCTATTGGTTGGTGGACTGTTGTTTTCAAACCATGATTTTGTCAACTTGGTCAACGCCATCTTGAAATATTTAGACTGCGGAGAGGTGTGAGGTAGAGACACCATAATTATAATGAACATCCTGCTTCATTTAAGAGGACTTAAGATGATCTAGACTAGCGGAGAAAGAACATTTTTATTCATTTAGCATCCAGGGGAGTCCAACCAGCTGGTTGGTCGAGAGAATGCATGTTTAAGACACTTCCACATTAGCTTCACTAGGCAGAACCGGAGGTTACCTACCACTTAAATGTTTGCCTAAAGCATCTTAATTTAACGTATGTGGAGCTGCTCTGTCCTAGCTGTAATGCATTTTTACCTTACCGTATCTAGCCTTTCTTTACCTTTACCTTATTAAAAAAAGTCGTATATAAATTGTGAATAAAGCCAAGAATAATAATTAGAATAATAATTATATATATATATATATACATATAAATACATATATATATCCAACACATATATATATATATATACCCAACACATATACATACATGTACATACATACATACACACACACATACACATGTACACACACACACACACACATTTATAGGCATAGTGTGTCCAACCTCATGTCCCTACGTTCCTTCTCACTGTTGCCCAGGAAGCTTCCATACTGACAGGAGTAGATGTGTGTGTGTATGGCGATGAGGAAGCGCTCGTTGAACTCAAAGGCGCACGGGAACTGCTCAGATAGCTGCCACACACACTCCAGAAACTGATCGATGACAGGAGACACCTCTTTGGGATCTCCATCCAGGTGGGCGTACCTGTAGGAACACAGCTCTTTCTTAATGCTCCATCACACAACACAACCTTCAAATAAATGATTTATTTACTAAATTAACAAAGAACTGACATATATGGAGATAAAACTGTCTCAATTCTGAAGATATGTGAAATATTACACTTGTGCTCTTGCCAAATTTTAACAAAACGTTTACAAGCAATTCAATTCAAGTACAAGTAATTACCAGCTCCATTAAGGTACAAATTATTATACCGTACCCACATTTATTAAAAGCATCCAAAGCAAACCAAACTGTTGGCTAAGAAATGTATTGCTGACATGAATGTGAAGAAAAGCCTGGATATTAAGTATTATTTAGCATGAATGCAAGAGAAGTAAAAAAGAAAAAGAGTGAATAATAATTGCAAAAGTAATCCATCCATCCATCCATCCATTTTCAACCGCTTATCCGGGGTCGGGTCGCGGGGGCAACAGCTCCAGCAGGGGACCCCAAACTTTCCTTTCCCGGGCCACATCTACCAGCTCTAACTGGGGGATCCCAAGGCGTTCCCAGGCCAGTGCAGAGATATAATCTCTCCACCTAGTCCTGGGTCTTCCCCGGGGCCTCTTCCCAGCTGGCCGGGCCTGAAACACCTTCCTAGGGAGGCGCCCAGGGGGCATCCTCACCAGATGCCCAAACCACCTCAACTGGCTCCTTTTGACGCAAAGGAGCAGCGGCTCTACTCCGAGCTCCTCGCGAATGGCTGAGCTTCTCACCCTATCCCTAAGGGAGACGCCAGCCACTCTCCTGAGGAAACCCATTTCGGCCGCTTGTACCCGTGACCTAGTTCTTTCGGTCATGACCCATCCTTCATGACCATAGGTGAGGGTAGGAACGAAGATTGACCGGTAGATCGAGAGCTTTGCCTTTCGGCTCAGCTCTCTTTTCGTCATAACGGTGCGGTAAAGCGAGTGCAATACCGCCCCCGCTGCTCCGATTCTCCGGCCAAACTCACACTCCATCTCCCCTCACTCGTGAACAAGACCCAGAGGTACTTGAACTCCTTCACTTGGGGTAAGGACACATTCCCTACCTGGAGTAGGCAATCCATCGGTTTCCTGCTGAGAACCATGGCCTCAGATTTAGAGGTGCTAATCCTCATCCCGACCGCTTCACACTCGACTGCGAAACGCTCCAGTGAGAGTTGGAGGTCACAGACGGAAGATGCCATCAGGACCACATCATCTGCAAAAAGCAGCGATGAGATCCGCAGCCCCCCGAACTGTAGACCCTCCTCCCCCCGACTACGCCTCGATATCCTGTCCATGAAAACCACAAACAAGATTGGTGACAAGGCGCAGCCCTGGCGAAGGCCAACCCCCACCGGAAACGCCTTCGACTTACTGCCGAGCACCCGAACACAGCTCTCGCTTTGGGCGTACAAGGATTGGATGGCCCCAAGCAAGGACCCCCTCACCCCGTACTCCCGCAGCACCTCCCACAGTATCTCTCGGGGGACCCGGTCATACGCCTTCTCCAAGTCCACAAAACACACGTAGACTGGATGAGCATACTCCCAAGCCCCCTCTATGATCCTGGAAAGAGTGAAGAGCTGGTCCGTTGTTCCACGACCAGGACGAAAACCGCATTGTTCCTCTTCAATCCTTGGTTCGACTATCATGCAAAAATGATAGGATGGGAGGGGGTGCAAAAGTAATCATGCAAGATTATTTATTACCGTGAATTCTCAAATAGTGGCCTTCCAGAGCAGTAACCGTAGACGGCAATACTAGATTGGCCCATTCCATTTTTAATGCAGCATATGTACTTTTTGCTTTAGGCTTAGCCGGTGAATTGTTACACAGTTACCTTTGGGAGAACTTGTGTCCAAAAGAAACCCAGTCTCTTTCTATCAGCACCTGGGAAAGAGATGGGAAGGAAAGTAGGCAGGAGATGAGAACTCTCATGGTCTTCAAATAAGGGTTGTTAGTATTGTGCGTGTGTTACCATGAGTCCTTTTATGGTTCGGTAGTATGGGTCCAACAGGATACTGGCTACAGAGCAGGCCTGGGCCGTCCTGTCCCAGCCATCTGAACAGTGAACCAACACGCTGACACCTTCATTGGCCACTGCCTGAAGAGAGAGAGAGAGAGAGAGAGAGAGAGAGAGTAGTTGCAGTATTAATGCAGAAGAAATACTAGTAGTAGTTTTCTTTATAGTAATATGAGTAGTAATAGCAGTTGTAGTATTACCACTACTAGTAGTGAAAGTAGTAATTTTAGTCATAATAGCAGTAGAAATACTGGTAGTAATGGTGTTAGCAATGGTAGGAGTATCAGTTGTAGTAATAGTAGTAGTTTTAGTAGAATCTGAAAGAGCAATAAGTATTTCAACAAAACAGCTTTATTCTGAGCTTCATGTTGAGGTACAGATAATCATTGAGGCTTTTTAGAGAGGGGGGTTAGGAGACAGAATGTCTGTCCTTCAAACTAAGAAGTTATTAATTGATAAGCCTCATCACAAGCATTACAGTAAGAATTTCCTCCATGGGGCTTTGAAATTATGGAATTAGGTAGGAGAGAGAAAGAGAGCAGTTAAATGACAAAAGAAACCTGCACAGATATTGCTATCAAAAACAGCCCCATTTAAAAACAGTTTAGCTTGAGTCATGGAGATGAGGGTTTCTAAAACATTCAATCATATAAAATATGAGAAATAATTTGAACCATGTGTCATTATGAAATGTCTTATCTTTGTTTTCTATTTGTCGGCTTCCCATCCAACAGTCTTGCTATTACCATGATACCAGTTGCGTCACAACGGCGCCGACAAGGCTTTCCTATGCCGTCGACTCCAACATGCATTATTTCATTCCAGATGGCATCAGAAGAGCCTTTAGCGGGGGATGCAGTAGCTTTTACTTAAATGTAAGTACTGGAACTGAAATCTACTGATATAAATGTTAGGATATAATATTTGACCTTATAACATCACATCTTAGAATTTGATTAGGTTGTAACCATTTCCGCAACAGCATGATAATGCATGTCGATATCAGATGTTAATCTCCAAAGCTGGAAAAGGTCAACATTGATTATTTCTTGTACCTACAGCTGCATTTTTAAACAGATTATAGAAATATATGTGGTTGCTGTGTGGGCTCCTGCTTGTGTGTGGTTTTGTGCACGGTATGTCTGTCTGTGTAAACACCTTGGCTATGAAGAGCCCCGCGTCCAGTACGGCTTTAATATGTTTGAGCCAACCAGAGTTCTCCAGACCATACAGGAAGTCAGTCATGGAGGGAGATCTCATCTCGCCCACTGCATGGGACAGACACACACAAGAAAATGGGGAGAGATGCCATCAAACAATGCCTGGAGTATTTAACTATACTTTAAAATGTCTGTTTCACATTTTTGAAGCAATGTATTGTATGTATTATTTGTTTGTGGACGAACACACACACACACCGTCAAGGATTTTCTGCTGACTGCTTCTCATAACGTGGATGTTTTCGATGCCGATGAACTGCAGCTTGATGTTGGTGTAGTGATCCTCGTTCTCATAGCCTTTACCTGCAGCTCGATTTGCCATGGCATTAAGCTGGACCAACACACACAAACACAGACACACACACACACACACACACACACACAATACTGTATATGAATATATACTCACTGATTACATGTATAAAATTGCATTTCTTGTTTCTTGCTCTTCTGAGTTTGTATCCATATGGTTGAATGCACTTATTGGATAAAAGTGTCAGCTAAATGACATGTCATTTATATATATATATATATATATATATATATATATATTACACACACACACACACATACACACACTGAAGTGAGTAGCGCTTGAAGGACAAACATCCTGTCTCCTAACCCCCTCTCTCCCTCACCCAATTCCATCATTTCAAAATAGCTATCTCTATCTCTCTATCTCTATCTCTCTATATATAGGGAAAACCCTGTATGTATATATATATATATATATATATATATATATATATATATATATATATATACATACAGGGTTTTCCCTGAAATTATATTAGGGGGGTGCCCCGCATTGCCCTTGCCTAGAAGGTGAGGCAAATTTTTTTAATTGTATTTTCTATTTATTCCCGGATCACAAAAGAAGTCCTTTCCCATGGAGAAGGTCCTTACCTTGTTCTTTTATTGAACAGACTAAATACTGTAGCCTCATGGTATTCATATTATGTAATTTCTCTCTCTATGCAATTGTCCTCTCTGTATCATGCATGGCAGAGATCTACCACGATGCGCACACACACACAGATACATGTGTGTGCACAGCAATATGCACATGCACACATTTAAGCACACTCCCACCAGTGTTGGTCTTCGGCCGTACGCCCTCCTCCCTCCCAAAAGCTGTATATATATATATATATATATATTTTTTTTTAGGAACTTATAACACTTGGATATGTGAGTGAGGAAGAGTTTTGGAGAGGAGATACCTTTGGCCTGGTGTCCACTACATAGATGTAGTCACTGCCAGGGTTGGACTTCATCATAACCTGCAGCATCATCTCATCATCCTGAGAGCGTCCACTGAAGCCGGACAGTGGCTGACTACACCGACATACGGCTGCCTGGATGACAATGAAACATCATAATTGTTGTAATGCTGCTCCAACTATTGTTCCATCTATTCTTTATTCCACATATTTATATTATTCCATTTCTTCCATGGCACCATTCAGCTCCTTCAAATTGTCATCAAAATATCTACTCCTTCAGGAGAAGGTGCTATGACTTCTCAGCGTTCTACCTTGAATTAATATCAATGAATATTCATAACATTTTTACCATGGTTTTACAATGAGTTTTTTTTTTCTTCAAATCCTCTTAAACTTATTCAACTTTCAAATCATTTTTGTTCCTCCGTCTTTCAGCTACAGCTACCATTTAAACTCCAGAATGTGCACGTGCCATTGTTGTTGTTGTGCCATCACTGCAGCAACGGTTAAACACGGGAAGGTGGTGTCCCCGTTAAAAAAAAAAAGGTGGTGTCTGGCAACTCCACATGGTCCTCACCAAACCCCAGGCCCTCAGCCTGGTGATTAAGGTAAGGATCGAGGGGTTTGATTACGCCATGTTCGCCACATCGCATGATGGGAGGTGTTTCCGTTGCGGTGGGGAGGGACACCTGGCGAGGGGTTGCCCGGAGAGGAACCACTCATCCGCTCCGCTAGATGTGGGCCAGCCGGGAAGTCAGGTAGATGAGGGGGAGAGTGTGGGATTGGGTGAGGGCCAGCCATTCGGTCAGGTGGATGAGGGGGAGAGTGTGGGATTGGGTGAGAGCCAGCCGGTCGGTCAGGTGAATGAGGAGGATAGTGTGGGATTGGGTGAGGGCCAGCCAGGTGGTCAGGTGGATGAGGGGGAGAGTGTGGGATTGGGTGAGGGCCAGCCGGTCGGTCAGGTGGATGAGGGGGTCAGAGGGAATGAATGTCACAGTGAATGGGGGGTTGAATGCAGCCCAGCGGGCAGGTGTGTGTGACAGAGTGAAAGAGGGGATGGGGGCACTCGTTAGTGGGGGAGCTGTTCGAGGTGGAACCTCGGACAGCGAGGAAGATATGGAAGAGGGGGGGATGGGCTTTAAGGCCCCCCACCTGAAGAGGAAGACGAGGGCCAGCAGGGGAGGCTCTTGGGCAAAGAGGAAGTGGCGCAGAGGGGAAGTGGGGAGTCAGAGTCCTCTTCAGGGTGGGCCTCTTAACAACAGCGTCTCCTCAGGTGGGACGGTCACCAGCAGGCACGGGGTGGGGCAGCTGAAATCATTCCTGCTGGCCACCAAGAATCAGAGAGGAGTGGAGCTGGAGGACTACTTCTCCGACTTGGAGAAGTTCGCTCGCTCCGTTCGACACGGCTGCACGAAGAAGGGTGCTGCAAAATACACCCAGCGGCAGGTCTTCCGACTGAGGAAGATACACCTCAAAATCACCAGGGAAGGAGGAAATGGGACTGAGTGAGGCGTCCGACCGGCGGAGGAGGATCCTGAGCGGGAAGACGGGCCAATGAAGGAGATCAGCGGAGTACAGATCGACCGATTTACTATAGTGCCTAATTACTGAAATTGTTTTTATGTAAAATAAAGGTTTTCTAAAAATCAAAAAAATCTCTCTCTAATTCCATAATTTCAAAGCCCCATGGAGGAAATTCTTACTTTAATGCTTGTGATGAGGCTTATCAATTAATAACTTCTTAGTTTGAAGGACAGACATTCTGTCTCCTAACCCCCCTCTCTGAAAAGCCTCAATGATTATCTGTACCTCAACATGAAGCTCAGAATAAAGCTGTTTTGTTGAAATACTTATTGCTCTTTCAGATTCTATTAAAACTACTACTACAACAACTGATACTCCTACTACCATTGCTAACACCATTATTACTACTAGTATTTTTACTGCTATTAATACTAAAATTACTACTTTCACTACTAGTAGTGGTAATACTATAACTGATATTACTATAAAGAAAACTACTACTAGTATTTCTTCTGCATTAATACTGTAACTACTATTACTACAAGTACTGCTATTACTAGTACTATTAGTAATACTACAACACCTATTACTACTACTAATACACTACTACTAGTATTTCTACTGCAATTACTCCTACTACTATTATATTTTGGTATTTTAAACATTTTTTTGAAATGTATTCTTTTCTTTTCTCATTTCTGTATTTTCATCAATTCTTTGGAACCAATTTCAGCTTTTAACATTCCAAATGTCTTTATCACATCACATATTTTACATGTACAAATGTAGTCAATGATGTTTACATTAGTACAAAGGTCAAAAACACATCAATTATTCCCCAGTTATTTAGATTTTGATTGTCTGGATAATTCCGTTGTCTACTCAACTTGATTCTTACAAAAAGGGCCAACAGATGTACACAAGATAAGATTGCTCCTGTGTGTGTGTGTGTGTGTGTGTGTGTGTGTGTGCATCACACAAACCAATGTGTCCTGGTGGAAGTAGGACAGAACAGGGAATCGCCCTCGACTCCTGAACCTTGAGCTTCCCACGATTAAGGCAGTTGTGGCTGACTTTGGAACAAAGAGTTGTGATGGGTACGTATCACAGACCTACAAGAGGACACACACACACACACACACACACACACATCTGAACTAGGTTTCTGTCCAGCCGTAAAGAGCTAATGTGGATGACAGTCAAATCTAGTGTAAAGGATAAAGCCGATATGGCACGCAGTGCAACAGTATGGCTCATTGTTTGAGCAATGCATTGTTAATTTGGTTCTTTTCATGGCATGTGTTTATAATAAAAGAGAATATCTCCAAACATATTAATAAAGTTCTAACTATACATTCTCTAAATTGTCATTCTGCTGCTAAATGGTTTCACTATACCTTTACCACAATGACCAGCATTTGAAGGGCTTTTGAGTAACATATCTCAGTGCTCTTGGTACATTCTTTAATATTGAAGGCATTAGCCATGGAGACGTCAGTCCTTAGGCTATCATTTCAAACTCATATGTCCAGCTCACTAATGTATCTGTTTGGTGTAACTTTGTACAGGAGGTTACATGATAGACTATTTCTTGGCAAGGGCAAGTAAGTATAGTTCTTGTGCTAAACATAATAAATATGGTATATAGTAGTATATACCATGAAGATAATAACTAAACAATTCCCAAATATTAAATCCCAGTAATACTTTGAATTTCTTACACTACCATGCAGAATGAATGTAGCCATTATCTCTCTATTCTGAAAATTCAATCTCATCAAATCAACAAGGTTGTTCTATTCATTATTTTAAAAGAAAATACTTTTATACCAGACATTCATTTCTACATGTTAAAACACAAGTAACAAATGGACTGACCCTATATTCACTGTTGGCCACTGTAGCAACCCACAAGTTATTTGGAACTCCCATCCTCTTGAAGTCAGCCGTTAGGTCGATGAAGTTCCAGGACTCTTCTCTCTCCACTTTGTTCACATTGGGATTAAAGGACAGGCAGTACAGCTCACTGTACTTCTCTGAAGAGAGGAGCAAATAATTGTGTTGAAACTGTACCCTAATGCACTTAACATACTTTAAGAAAGTACATTAAAGCACCATGATGACACTCTGCCAGACGTCTTTGTGTGCATGAAATCACACTGACCCACATTTAACCAATTACACACATAAATACATCCACACACCTGGCCGCGACAATCTTAGCAATGACGTGTGGACCTCCAAACAGTCTCTCTCCTGCGGAATGAGGATCTGGAAGACACGGAAGTCCTTACAATGCAGGATCAGCTGACTTCCTGCGGGAATGGTGGGTGGCCTCTCCACACTGCTCAGCATACTGTGTAACACCTGAAACACACATAAACACACATCTGTCCTTTTTTCTAACATAGAGAAGTGCACCCAATCACAACACAGTGTTCGGTTTCCTCTATTAGCCCGTTTTGTAAATACCTAATGAGGCTTTGATGTGAACAGAAGTCAGTGACATTCCAGCACTATAAACTAGCCTAGAACTAGCCTCATTAAAGTCACATTACTGTTACTCTTCTGGGTTTTTCACATAGGAAGTGAATGCTTTTTGGTGAGGGAGAAGAAGACAGTTGCGTTCAATGTAATTTTTTTACACAACATAATTGGAATCTGTCTTATTTGTTTCTACTAATCAAAGTTGCAGCCTGTTGGGTTCAATCTGACACTCCTGGATGCCCGTTTTATCTTGTCAGGTCCAAGTGGCCAGGGCGGTATCCTTCTCCACCTCCAGTAGACTCCAAATAGGGAAGGGCAGTATATTTCCTTCCTGTGTCTAGAAACTCGGCACTTACACAATCCAAATAAACATGAAAGATAAAGATTTCAGCCCGCTTGATTCAAACCGTACTAAAGCTCAACAACTTTGTCATCATAACAATTATACCTTAAAGTAGATATATCATGCTCATTTTAAGACCCATACTTGTATTTAGGGCATGCTTTGACGTTAAAACACCAAATCATTTTTCTTGTATTGTCTGTGTGAATATCCCTGTATTCACCTTCTGTCTCTTTAAGCTGAGGCCAGTGCGTGATACTGTTTTTTTTTTTTGCTTCCATACATACAGGATTGGATTAAAATGGTATCTAAAGAATCCTTGATTCCCATAGAAAATCTTGGGCATTAACTTGCACGTTACTATTTGAACAAAAAAAAAAAGATTGGGGACTGCTAGTCTACAGGACCTTGTCTAAAGAACTATCCTCCATCTCAGCCTATACCAAATCAGTTTTCCCCTCCACTACAAATTCAGCATGAGTATTATACTAATACGTTCTGCTTTATACTTCAGGAGAGGGGGTTTACATTTAAAGGGTAAACATGTGGGCAATATTCATACACTGTATCGTACATGTCACCACTTTATCTACAAAATGAGATCCCAAGCAGGCCGTTGTGTGACGGTGCATGATTACTCTTATCAATAATGAAATGTATCTATCTTTAGTGGGAACCAGATCAAGTGTAAAAGCAGTGCTCATGATAGGTTTGGCACCCTGCCTCCACCTTACCCATGTCTCCTTGCGTGTCTCAGGGTTGTTTTCTACAAAGATGGTGTGCGTGGCTGAAAGGTACAGAGTCCCAATGCTGGCTTTTCTCTGTCCTGACGACCGGTCCAGGAGACGCGCATTCTCCACCTGCGAGAGGCACAAATAATTGTTTGTGCCCACCAATAATAATTGGTGGGAAAGGTGTAGTTGGCTCAAACATGATGCATAGTCAGAAAGTATGTCTCTTCAATCACCAAGACACACACATTTATTTACACATTCAATTATTTTACTGTAGTGACAGTTTATCAGAGTCAACATAAAAATGTAACTTGACAAGTTGAATTGTCTTGTAGTTAAGTGTGTGCACTAGTGGAGAGGTTTTGTACTGATACCATGAGTGTATCAGCAGGCCTACATATTAAGCATAATGGAGCCTGTCAGACTAGTGATGTGGTAATGAGATGGATGGCCTGCTACTGAAATTAATTATACATTCATATTTCATAATTAGTCAAAAATAAACGTTGGCAACAGGAGCAATGGAATACACATGCGACATCCCATGTCCCGAAACCCTCCCGTCGGCACAGGAAAAACTCCCCTATCGTTGAGCACCGTCACTGCCAAATACTACAGCTAGCTACCTTATCGATTCAACTGATAAGTCCATTATCGGACACAACGTTGGCAGATATTTGATGATTCCTGTGAAAACCGTATATTAGTACACGTTAGTAATCCCTAAGCGATAAACACACACAGCTACAGCGTCTGGATAAGAGGGTTTCCTCATGTAGCCCCCTGCTAAGGACGTCCCCGCAGCCTGCCCCATCAGTCCGGAGAGGACAACAGATAACTGACCCAAATGGTGCCTCCGTGACGAGATGGACGCGGGTCCAGGGGGATGGTGGACCTAGTGGCATCGAACGCTGGCCGAACGCTGGCCGAACGGGCGCAGCGATACAGCAACAAGGACGAAGGACAGAACGGGCTAACGTTATATTTAGTTACTGGCAATAACATGCTGAGTGTAATTACCTTAGGCGTCCGGATGTGCTCCATCACCGGCAAGCAAAATGGTGGAGATAGAGATAAAGTTTGTGTATGTAGGGGGGGGACAAGCACTTATATCCCCAGATTTACGTCGTGTTCACCTTGTGGCTGCTGTACCCACACTTCCCTGCAGTATTCTCCATGACTACCTTTGATCTATGAGACCTGAAGGAAAGCGGTACCCCGGACCGGTTCTAACGGTACACGGGCTCTGTCCCTATCAGCTCTGACAAAAGATGCATTCTGCGTACAACAGTCAGGCGAATCATTACTAAATGCAAGGCCTTTGGTTTTTATTTTCAAAATAAAATCCGGTAATTCGTATTCGAGCTAAGAAATGTTCGTAAGCTATAGAAGTTCTATTTCCATGTAATATTCTGAATTGCACTATGCATCCCTATTTTGGGGCTAAACCCTTTTAACGTGATGTGTTGTATGAAAATGTATGTTGTTTATCAATTTTGAAACCTTTACTTTTATTTTTAAATTTGGAGTAAGAGTGAAATCATTCATTACTGCAAACTTGACTCTGGAACACGGCTCGTGCTAAAACCGTATTTCAGTCTTTCAAATTGAATACTAATTATTCTCTTTTCTTTGAACGCACACAAAATCGTACGTTTTCAAATGTAGAAATCGTGCATATTTTTTATTTTTCAAACGTGATCTTTTATTTTTCCAGTATTAACGTCCAAATCCTCCTCTATAGTGCTCGATCTACAGTGCATCCGGAAAGTATTCAAAGCGCTTCACGTTTTCTACATTTTGTTATGTTACAGCCTTATTCGAAAATGGATTAAATTCATTATTTTCCTCAACATTCTACACACAACAACCCATAATGACAAAGTAAAAACAGTTTTTTGCAAATCTGTTAAAAATAAAGAACGAAAACATAACATGTACAAGTATTCACAGCCTTTGCCATGACACTCAAAATTTAGCTCAGGTGCATCCTGTTTCCACTGATCATCCTTGAGATGTTTCTACAACTTGATTGAAGTCCACCTGTGCTAAATTCAGTTGATTGGACATGATTGAGAAAGGCACACACCTGTCTATATAAGGTATCACAGTTGACAGTGCATATCAGAGCATAAACCAAGCCATGAAGTCCAAGGAATTATCTGTAGACCGCCGTGACAGAATTGTATTGAGGTGCAGATCTGGCGAAGGGCAGAGAAAGATTTCTGCAGCATTGAAAGTCCCAATGAGCACAGTGCCCTCCATCATCTGGAAAAGGAAGAAGCTTGGAACCACCAGGACTCTTCCTAGACTCTTCCCCGCCCAGTCAGACTGAGCGATTGGGGGAGAAGGGCCTTTGTCAGGGAGGTGACCCGATGGTCACTCTGACAGAGCTCCAGCGTTGTTCTATAAAGAGAGGAGAACCTTCCAGAAGGACAACCATCTCTGCAGCACTCCACAAATCAGGCCTGTTTGGTAGAGTGGCCAGACGGAAGCCACTCCTCTGTAAAAAGTTTGCAAAAAAGCACCTGAAGGACTCTGACCATGAGAAACAAAATTCTCTGGTCTGATGAATCAAAGATTGAACTCTTTGGCCTGAATGCCAAGCGTCATGTCTGGAGGAAACCAGGCACTGCTATCACCTGGCCAATACCATCCCTACAGTGAAGCATGGTGGTGGCAGCATCATGCTGTGGGGATGTTTTTCAGCAGGAGGAACTGGGAGACTAGTCAGGATTGAGGGAAAGATGAATGCAGCAATGTACAGAAACCTCCTTGATGAAAACATGCTCCAAGCACTCTGGACCGCAGACTGGGGCGACGGTTCATCTTCCAACAGGACAACGACCTGAAGCACACAGCCAAGAGAACAAAGGAGTGGCTTCAGGACAACTCTGTGAATGTCCTGGTGTGGCCCATCCAGAGCCCTGACTCGAACCCGATTGAACATCTCTGGAGAGATCTGAAAATGGCTTTGCACAGACGCTCCCCATCCAACCTGATGGAACTTGAGAGGTTATGCAAAGAAGAATGGGAGAAATAGGTGTGCCACGCTTGTGGAATCATACCCAAGAAGACTTGAGGCTGTAATTGCTGCCAAAGGTGCTTCAACAAAGTATTGAGCAAAGGCTGTGAATACTTATGTACATGTGATGTTTTCGTTCTTTATTTTTAACAGATTTGCAAAAAAGTTTTCACATTGTCATTATGGGTTGTTGTGTGTAGAATGTTGAGGAAAATAATGAATTTAATCCATTTTGGAATAAGGCTGTAACATAACAAAATGTGGAAAAAGTGAAGCGCTGTGAATACTTTCCAGATGCACGGTATGAATGAGGAGTGCCATCAGAGGGATTTTAATATTTAATTTCACAATTTAAAATTCACATGGTTAAACCACATTTTTAAATCCTTATTAAGTGTCACTTTTATTCTTATTCTTTGTTAAAAAATGCAAGTAAGTGTATTATACACTTTCCTGATACCTCACTATTGCTAGAAATGAAAATGTCCTTTGGTCGGGAAAGCAAGTCAACCAAAAGGACTAAACAAACAAATCTAACAAAATGAATAGAGCAAAACAATAATATCTGTATTCCTGATCCTATATAAAAAAGTTTCCCAACCGCAATTAATCTTCATGCACTTCTGAAACTTGGGTGTGTGTGCGTGTGTTTGTGGGTGTGGTTCAATGTGAACCAAAGTAATCATCTTTGTACAACTGCATAATGTTTACTCTAAGGAGTTTAAAGAAGGTTCATTTTCCCAAATTGATATTAAGTAAATTAATGCCCAAAAATCCTAGTGCTCCAGTGCAGTTGGTTTGTTTTTCGGCGAAGGCTATGGCCGACAGTAGCCTGTTTCCTGGTTGATAATAAAATCCTAAGAAGAACATGTTGTCCAGAGCTTTAATTTATTATCAACACATAGATCATAGAATCTGCCCACATTGCCCCACAGCGAACGGATTGGACCATCTCTCAAATGTCAATATAGAGAGTATAAAGAAGATCAAAGCTATAAAGAAAATTGCTGTTGCACAACCATCTAGAACAGGAGTGCCCAACCAGTCGATCGCGGTCTACTGGTAGACAATTAGGGGTTAGGTGTCTTGCTCAGGGACACTTCGACTTGAGACATGGGGCCGCCGGGACTGGAACCTACAGCATATGTACTCTGTTGTGGTAGCATGTATCTGTATGTACAGTGACAAATGGACTGTACTTGTATAGCACTTTTTTAGTCTACTGACCACTCAAAGCTCATTAACACTTCATTCACATCCATTCACACACCGGAGCTACCATACACAGTGTCAGTAGCTAACATACCACATATCACACACTGTAGTCACTGGAGCAATAATGTTGGGTCAAGTGTCTTGCCCAAGGTCACATGGACACATAGACATTGATGACAGTGCCTGGGATCGGAACACCAATCCTCTGGTTGGAGGACAACCGGGCTCTCCACTCACTCATAGTTGACTAATGTGTCTCAGAAACAAATATGTGCAAATAACTGTCAATGCTTTTTTCTGTGTAATTGTTGATTATGGCTATAAGTAATTGTCTCGGTATTTCTTGATACTCTTGATACTCATACTGGTATGACTTCAGATGTGTAAAGGATCACTGTAAACTGTTCACTTAATTATTGTCATAACGGCCTTACATTGAAATTCAGAAAAATAGGGTTACACGTGTGCAGTAACATTCCTATCTAACTAACTATCCACCTATCTATGTATTATTAAAGTGAGCATCAGTTAGGCTCAGCCCAGCTTCCAACTTGCATGTCAACACATGATTTTGTGTGTATTGGTATGCTACAGTAGTCTCTTGGCTCAGCCTAAAAGTCGAGGACGCTCCAATTACAAGAACCGTTTAGAGTGTTTCATCCCCTTTGACTCTGATTCTGTACATTAAGGCAACAGGGAACAATTAACTTTATTAGTAAATGTTGTGACCTTAGTTAACTTAAGAACGGATGTGGACATTCTCAAACTTCTTCCTCACTCTCTCATGTCCCTGATGCTCTGTTAGGACAATTATATACAGTAAATACATGACAAAGCAGTCTCTGCTTAGTTGAGTCTGAGATAAATGTCCGGCTACAATCCACAAACTCACTCCATGTGTGCTAGTGTTTATAGAGTCAGTGGGGGTGGAACATGAAGGGTTGGCGGAGGACGTAAGACAGAGATGGGAGTGTACAACATAATACAACCTCTTTTTTTACCCCTTTTGTAGTTGCAGCACACTGCCAATTCCCTCTCCTACCTCTTCTTTCCTGGCTCTTTTCGCCTCCACCCCCTCTGTCTTAACACATTCTCTCACTCCTCCCCTCTGCTCCTTTACCACCTCCCTATTCCATACTTCTGACTGAGCAGGGAATGGCTAACACCATGGTCTCAGTGCGCAGCTCGGAGCTGGGACCACTTGGCTGGGACACTGTCGGTAAAAGTCATGTCTTTCTACAGAAAGTCTCCTCAAAGCTGGGGCCAAACTCTAGCCAGCAACAGAGAGGCACTAGAGTAGGGAAAGGGCCCTTGGGACCACCTCCACCTCTATGGTCCTGCAAGAGTCATGGACCTCCAGGACAGGGGATCCCTAGGCGCAGGAAAACCCTTACTGATGGCTCCACATTTGGAGAGGGTGGACAGAGTGCTGGAGGAGGAACTCCAACGCGGTCGAGACAAAGTCAGTGCCAGGGTGAGTCAATGTAGTGTCTGCATTGTTGTAGAGACATAAACATGAGCTATTTCTGGTAGGACACATTTCATTCATAATGCCGTAAATGTAAACACACAGGGACATACTCCACATGCATTGTAGGTCTGCTTTGCTCGACAAAGCACTTCAAAGTTGTCTGTGAGGGTCGCTGCAGTAGACTCAGGAAATGAGCAGGCTGACACTGCAGACCATTCCACATACCACACATTCACACGGTTTTTCACGCCCTAGCACACGCTGTTTTGGGATTTACACACTTATTATACAGGTGTGTTTTCAGCTGGTGACATAAGATCCCGTCATGTTAGTGTGTTCTAGCTGCAGTGTTTCATAACAGCAAAACTTTCTAATTCTTGGAAATTAAAAAACAAATGGGGATGTTTTTTCCTCTTTATCACTTATTTTCTTTTTCCTTTCCTCTGTTGTCCTTCTTTTTGTTTTAGTTTCTCCGTTTCTCTTACCTTGTTTTATACTAAAGGGAGTTTCAGGTTGTTATTTGTTCCTGGTCTGTCGCTTTGTGTTGTTGGTGCAGCATCAGACCAACCGACGGTTGTTTGT